CGGGATGATGGAGAGTTCTGGTAAACAAGATTAATTAAAAGTACTTTTACAAATTTTACAAAAAGTTTAATTTGCCAACTTGTAATGCAATCAATGGCTCCCCAAAGACTGATCAAAACATGGACATAGTCTTAGTGAAATCATCAATTGGTTTCTGAAGAGACATTTTGAAGCCCAACTATGTTGGACTGCAGAATTTTGACTCCAATTGACGTTTAAACAATTTTCTGACATTTTCTCATCTTTGTTGTTGTTGTCTTACTATGTCTATCTGTCAGGATGACATTGGAGGACTTCTGTCACTACTTCCTTATGCTGTTCGTCTGCTGTGAGAACCCTAACTTTATTGACGGAGACCTCGCCTGCCAGTGGCAGTGCATGGTTTACGAGGGCAGCTGGGTCTCAGGCAAAAGTGCAGGCGGAAGCTGGTCAAACTGTGAGCACAATTCATTCTTTTACCTTTAACCCTCACCACAGGCCCAGCATGTTTGTTTTGTCTTTTTCATTTTCTTTATTAGAAAACCCACCTATCAGATCACAGAAGTTTTAATTACATGTTCATGTTTTCATCTCCTGTAGCTTCCTTTAACACAAATCCTCAGTACCGCATTGAAGTGACTAAAATCGATGAGACAGAGAAAGAAGACAAGAACATCCTGATTTCCCTGATGCAGAAACCTAAGGCACAGAATCGCAAACAGCAGAGATCCTACCCTATTGGAGTCACTGTCTACAAGGTTTGTATCCTGACTTTCCTTACTACAAATAGATATGAAGTTCCTTTTAACATTTTAAAAGACATAGAAAATGTGTATTATGTGTGGAACAAAATAATGTAATGTAATATGTAATGTAAATGCAGTAATGGTATGGTATTCATGGACATTATGACACATGTCAAACTATGTACTAAATGTTTTCTTCTTCTTTCTCATTCAACAGATTCCAGAAGGGGTAAGAGCAAACCTCACACTCCTTCTGTGCACACCAAACATATTTCACATTTGAAAAAAACAGAATAATGATGACGAGATTCTCAGGATAATATTTCATCCCATGAAATGAGGTTCATATTCTTTACAGACACCATCAGGACGCTTGCAGCGCTCCTTCTTCGACACCAACAGGCCCATGAAACAGACACAGTCTTACACCTACAACAGGGAACTTGTTGAACAGCACAGCCTGGTGCCCGGAGAGTATGTGATCATCCCCTCCACCATGAAGCCCTACATGGATGCAGAGTTTGCTCTCTCCGTCTTCACTAAATCCGAAGCTAAGATCACGTAAGGACTAACTGATACTTTCTGATAATAGATAACTTTTTATGAAGAGAAATATCATCAAATCGCTTGGTTGGCTCCTCCAGAAATCCTTCAGAAAAAGGAGGAGGCACAAAAAGAACTAATTGATCACATGTACTCCTCTGCATCCAGTCCCCATGATGAACATGATGATCATGACCATGAAGAAGAAGAAGCCGACCACAAAGAGAAGGAGAACTTGATCCTTCCTGAGGTATAAAAACTAGAAAACACAGAGAAAACTTCACCTGTCATTTAGAGGAATATACAAGACATCTGATCAGTTAACTTCTTATCTACAGGTACCTGGAAAGAAAGATGAGGATACCAAGGATTCTGTCCATGCCCTTTTCAAGCGCTTTGCTGATCAGGTGTGTGATTTGTTTCTGGTTTTACTCATCTTTGAATTGTTTTCCACTCTCCTGTTCATGTTTTGTTCTCTGTGTTGGTTCTGTTTTCAGAGAGGTGAGCTGAGTACCTTTCAGCTCCGCAAAGTCCTGAAAGACCAATTCCCTAACGGTGAGTTAGACTTATATCTGACTTATATCATGCACACTGCAAATGTATATGTTGTGTTTCAAAATCTATCTACAGTTATATAAGCTGTTGTGTTTTTTTGTGTTTCAATAATTCACAGGATCCAAATGGGGCTTTGAGTATGAAACCTGCAGGGGCTTGATTGCCTTGGTGGACGTATCCTTTAAAGAACATTTCAAATGCTAAACCTTGTTTTTCTTGATTTACCAATCACTCTGAATGACTCTAGCGTCAGGTCCGAATAAAATCACAACGTTCTGATGATAAGTTCAAGTTTGTGATAAAAATTCTTTAACATCCAAAGGTTGACCATAACAGGAGGATGACCATCACTGAATTCAGGGCCCTCTGGAAGAAGATCACCGAATACAAGGTGATGAAGCCAATACCGGCATGAAAAGTGTACATGTTTTTACCAATTCAGCACTTACGACTCTCATGACTCTATGGCTGATGTAATCAAAAAAACAATTGGACTCTATGTTGAAAGTGGTTTTAAAAATGTGGTTTAATATTTTTTTGTAGAAAGTCTTTGATCGTGCAGATTTGAATAACAACGGAAGCCTGTCTGACTACGAGGTCCAGAAAGCAATTCAGGCTTCAGGTAACACTATTTATCAATGAAACTCTTAAAATAACCTTCATCCAATTGAGATGATCCTGTTTGATGTTCACGGATCTAACTGCAATACTGTCTCCTCCTGTGTGTATCAGGATTGGATACCAACGATGCGATGGTGAGGCTGTATGTTTTCCGCTATTCGGGCTATTCCTCCACCGATTTGGGTGGCTTCATCAGTCTCATGTTGCGCCTGGAGAAGATGTCAAGTCAGTAACATGGCAACCAACCAATTGTGCCACTTTTATTTTTGTTTAAGATTATTATGCAGTTTGAGAGAAAACTGAAATACAGGTGTGTGTTAAGACATTTCTGATTGAGATGGCCCCATAGTGTTTTAGTTTAAAAAGAAACAATACAGAACAGCAACATTGAAATCTTTGGCGCTTAACTCTTCAAGAATAAAAAAAAGTATGTTTAATCTCACTATTAAAAGTACTAACATAAGGCAATTTTCCACTTTCAAATGTAAAGAATGCTACTTACAGCCTGCAACACAGCCCAAACAGTGGATTTTAACAATAGAAGCGCCTCTAACAATTGTCAGAGTTTAGATTTTTAAGAATGTACTAGGAGTGACCCATCAGGTTTCAGGGCCGGAGTATGGCACCCCTCTAGACAAACCGCTGCTCACATGCACTTTGCTGATGATATATTTTTACAGTGCAATGCTTCTACATTTTCTAAATTAGTTTTTAAGCTTATGTTGTATTTTAACAAGCTGACTTTCGTTATTTGATTTCCCTACAGATGTCTTCAAGGACAAATCCTCAGATGGAGTGATCCACCTGACCTGGGATGAGGTCAGTCTATTTTTTATTGTTTTAAACGTACACGTGACATATGTGACAGAAATATTTAAATCTTCTCCTGCAATATTAAACTAGTCCTGTATTGATCATTTTAATTAATTATGTCTTTTTTGGTAAAATGTAAAAGAAAAAAAAAGTGAAAAACACTCACACAATGCAGAACTGCACTTCATTTACAGCAGTACATCATATTTTGTGAGCACATATTTTTGATGAAAATGCTAAGCCTATGAAGAATTGATAAGCTAAAACTGTCAAAGAAATGTATGAAAAGCACACTTCCCTTTTTAAATATAGTTTTTTTGCAGAATAAAGTAGGAAAACGTTAAGTGATGTAATGAAAACGTGAAGTGCTTGAGTAAATACAATTATTTGCATTAAATACCTAATGTGAAGAAAAATGCCAACTATACAAAAAATTCTGCAAACTGCCTTCCTTTTGTTTCAGTGGTCCAGCAATACCATGTACAACTAGAGCCCGGCTGACACAGGAGCACAGGAGACCCAAAGACAAGAGAAGAATCCTGCAACCAAACACTGTTTCAACCAAACTTGATGTCTTCCTGTGCACAACCTGTAAAGCAAAACTTGGACGAGTTTCTTTGATCAAATGATCCAAGTGAAATAAACATCTACTATCTGAACTATGAGCTGGAATGTCGTTTCTTGCACAAATTTTAATCAATCAATCGTTATTTGTATAGCGCCGCCAATTCATAACAAATGTAAGCTCACTTTTCAAAAGAGCAGGTAAAAGACTTCACTCTTTGTTATATTATCTACAAAGACCAGACATGAATCCATCATGCGAACTAATCAACTTTTAGCAAACTTACATTAGCAAGGACAAACTTCCTTTAAGAGGCAGAAACCTCAAACAGAACCAGAGTCATTTTGAATAGCCATGTGCCAAACTGTGTTGGGATTGAAAAGTGGGGTTGCAGGAAGGTTAGGGACACACAGAGCAGCAGAGTGATCAGATTCACTTTAATATGTATATAAATGATAAAAGATACGATAAAAGAAGGAGAGAGAGAGAGAGAGCTCAAGGTGCTTTATCAAAAAGGATTGTTTTAAGCCTACATTTAAAAGTACAGGGTGTCTGCCTCCCTGACCCTGACTGGCAAATGATTCCAAATGAGAGGGGCCTGAGAAATGAAGGCTCTACCTCCTCTAGTACATTTAGAGGCTGTAGGTACCACAAGCAGGTATGCATTCTGGGAGTGAAATATTATCGAAGGGTATTACAGCACTAGTAGCTCTGATTAGATGGTGCATGACCATTTAGAGCTTTGTAAGTGAAAAGAAGGATTTGAACAGGGTTAATGTGGTCCCTTCTCCTAGTTCTAGTCAGCACATGAGCTGCAGCGTTTTAATCACTATAATCCAACCTGGAGGTAACAAATGCATGAACTGTTTGTTTTTACATTTTGTGACATGACATGCCTGATTTGAGATATATTACAAAGGTAAAATAGGCTGTCCTTGAAATTTGTTTTATGCAAGCTTTAAAGGACATATCTTGATCAAATAGAAGTCCTAGATTCTCAACAGCAGTGCTAGATGCCAGGCTGATGTCATTAAGGACCGTTATATCTTTAGAAAAAGTCTCTCTGAGGTTTTTAGGGACAAGCTCTATAACTTCAGTCTTGTCTGAGTCAAGCAGCAAAACAATTCTATCAAGAAATCTAATATCAAACTGCACAGCAAACAGGACGCAACAGAAGAAATTGTCAACCAGGGATTATTTTATTAACTCATCACTGACTACAGCAGAAAAGTACAAACCCAAATCCCACATTCATACATCTTTTGAATTAAGCCATGAATTAAAATGTCCTATGTACACTCATTCCTTTATGAGGCTTCTGTCAGAACTCATATCAACAAGTCACATTAATAAATCAAAAATCCACCTCTCCCAGTCAAAAAAGAAAACCCCCTTTAAGGCCAGGAGCGCACTCTGCTGTTTGTACTGGTCCACTGCAGCATGCAAGTGGGTTCGGTGGTTACAGAACAAGGTTTAAAATGTTTTATGTTTTTCAACGAACTTCATAAAAACACAATATCAACAATGAATTGATTCTACTTACAGGTACTGTCTGGTTAGCAACAGTCTGAAATGGTTTATTTCTCCTTTTGCTGTTCAAAACCACAACAAATAATTGAATACAACCACCCCATTGTTACTGTACTTGATGCGAGTCAGTTCCTCACCCAAAGCCCTACACATTTGCTACACTACCATGTGTAGCAATTGTGCATTACTTCAAGGCTGAAACAAGTACACAATAAATGCTGTTATTATTCCTTTTGAAGAATATTTAGTAAAAACTGTTTCATAGCTGTTTTAGGAAATCACTGAACCATGCATGAGGACTAAAGGCTTTGGAAAAGGTGAGGGAAGACAAAAAAGGGTTGACAAATATTCATTGTTGGTTTTGATCTTTTAATTAGATTTGGAGTGGAAAACAAACTTTAACCTTGTCGTCTATATTTAGAGAAAGTTTTTGTACAATGTTTAAGAGAAGGAAGGAATACAGTCCTCAGTCCTCCTCCTTCTCTATATAGGTCTTGCAAGCTGAGCGGGCCATCTGTCGAGCCATGTACCGCTCTCTTGCCGTACTCACAGTTTGATCCGTGCTGCGCTTCACAAATTTATTCGCCTTTTCCTCAGCTTCCTGTCCTTGTCCTTCCTCTTTTTCCCCTGTGACAGCTTCCTTGCTTTCTGGATCTTTCTCTTCCTTCTTCAGCACCCTCTCCTTCTCTCCTTCCTTCCTCCTCTCTCTCTCTTCTTCCTGATCCTTGTCCTTCCGCTTGTCCTCATCTGGATTCCTCCTCTTCTCTCTTTCACCATTTCTATCCCTCTCTCTTTCTTTAGGGCTCCTCTCCCTCTTCCCATGCCTATCTTCCCTCGCTGTAACCTCCTTGCTCCTGTGCCTGTCATCTTCTCTGCCTCTTTCTTTCCTTCGATCTCTGTCGTCTCTTCTACCTCCATGTCTCTCATCCCTTTCCCTTCCCCCCCTTCGGTCTCTGTCTTTGTCTCTGTCCCTCCCTCTGTCTCTGTCATGATCTCTGTGGCTCTTCTTGTGCCTATCTTTCTCCCTTTCCTTCTCCTTTTCCTCTCCGCTCCCTGAGGAAGGCGACCTCTGTCTGTACTGGCGTTTCAAATGTGCGGAGCCGATACCAGGCTTGCTGAACTCAGACTTCTGCCCGTGCCCCTCCTCATTGTCACTGCAAGAACTTGGGGTTTTATCCTGGGAAGTTGGTGAGGGGATAGGTGATGACCTCTCTGTCTCTTTTGAGGTTTGAGTTCTGTGGAAGCATGAGCAGAAAGATACAGTTAAGGCTTTTTTATATTAAAAAAAAATTGCTTGTTGTGCTTATGGATGATAAAGGAATGCCGAGCTTTCACTGACTTGTTTGCTGAGCGATCTGGTATTTCCTCCTCTCCTACAGTCTGATTCAGCAGGTGCCGATAGAAGCCGCTCAGGTCTTTTTGTTTCTTCACGTCCAAGGCAGCTAAGCAAAACAAAGATAATTCAAACAAATGGTTTTACAATTTTTAGGTAGAGACATTTCCACAAAATGTCCGAGTACCTGTCTAAAGATTTTTTTCACAGAGAATAAAAGTAATTTTAAAGTATCAGACTAACCCTCAATAGCTGCCTCTCTCTTCTCTCTCTCCTGCTCCTCCTTCTGCTCCTCCAGTTTTTGCTTGTAGGCAGAGGTAACATAAGCCTCTTTATCGGCAAACTGCTCTCCCTCTGCCTCCCTCTCCTTCTGGATCTTCCTGTCTTCCCTTCGTTCCTGTTCTTTCTTTCGGTCCTCAACAGCTCTCATTAACTGGTGGATGTACTTTGGCTACAAAAAGACAGAAAAAAAAATGTTTCATCGTACAGAATTTTGCTAACCATTAGCTAAGCACTCTGAAATCACAGAGTGATGATTACAGCGAACCAAAAGGTCAGTGAGATTACCCTTTTGTCAGCACCATGCAGAACTTTTTTGTTGCTCTCAAGTCTCTGGTTTTGAATGTCATCATACACAGCATCGTAATCATATACAGTGCTGTCCTCTTCCAGGGCTTCTGCATCTCCAAACGTGTCTTTACACAAGAGAGAAAGAAAGTTACAGACCAGATAACTGTAAATGATAGATAAATGACTTTGTTTATTAAAAAAAGGTAAAAGCCTTAATATCATCAAGTAGACTTTGTTACATATACATTTATTTAGTTCTCCTTCTCACCTGCTTCATCATCTTCTTTTTGACAGCTTCTTTCTGAAGGCTCTCACCAACAGAGGTCTGAGAAACAAGACATAGTCATTAATATAATGTTTAGACATGCGTCTGCTAAGATGATACCTAAAAAGATATGTTTAATATTAATTGACAGAAATCTGTTTAAATTCCAAAACAGTGAAGATGTCTGAGTAAAATGCAGTGACTACTGAATGTCTATGACTCATTAATAATGTCCCGCTTATAAAAAATCCAAAAGTTTACTCACCTCATCATCTGAATCATCCCCAAACACACAGGTTTTTTTAAGGATTGCAGTCTTTGCTGCTCCTTTCTTCTGAGGCAAGATCAGCCCATACCTTTGGACAATTACAAAACAAGACCTCTTAAACTGTGATATATAAAGTGACATCTGTACTTGTTTACAAATGTAAAACTTTGAGTCCAAGTTCATTAAAAAATGAAACGTTAATTTTTGTTGAGACAAACCAAAGACTTCACATCTGACACCAAAGCTAAGGCAGCCAATGAATGAACTGCATATTGACTCCTACAATTCATTTAGCAAACACTTTTTCGTACATCAGAGGGAAACAACAGGATCTAGAACGGAGGAAATTACATCAGTAAGTACAAACAAACAACTTTAAGTCTGATCAAACACAGGTGCCCACAGGTTGTGCACAGAGGCAAAGCAGTTGTTTTATTTTGTTTTAAGTAAAGGTAATATATCATCATTAACAACATGGTCATCTGCTCTTGAGAGATCTAATCAGCATCAAAACCATATTGACCATTCAACTGATATTAGTTCAACTCTATATTAGATCAAAACCAAACTTGCTTCACCTATTTTTTATTTCCATTCCAATAAAAATCATCATAATGTAATGTAAAATTGGAAATATACCACTTAATGTTGTCTTACATCAGGAAAAACACGATTCTTAGCACTTCAGTATGTTATCATAATGCTGCTTGACACACAATTTACATTGTTTAAAAAATGACAGCTTCTGTGCAGCCCTCGTTAACACTTTATGTTGCAAATACTAAATATTGTCTACTAAACATGTCAACAATATAAAGAGAGCTAAACTGACCCTAGACCTTTACATGTTTAGATGTTGGTGTTATAGCAGCAATATTTATGAGACTGATGACTTTCTACAGTATGGGGTCTGAGTATGAAGTGTAATATGAAGTGTAATATGAAGTGTAATATGAAGTGTAATATGAAGTGTAATATGAAGTGTAATATGAAGTGTAATATGCAACAAAAAACCTAAAAAAAACACATTTTCTATCAGTCAAATAAACTGCGGTCTGAATGACTTTTTGTTTTAAAGGTTTTTTATTTAATCTTCCCGACTGGCTTCTATTGATTAAGTAAAAAATACATAGAAGTGTAGAAGTCCTCGGTTTCGAAATAACAAGTTGTCGATAACCATATTACAGATAAACAAATATTTAAAGTATTATATATGAAGCAGAATGAGCTTCTTCGCCCATTTACAAGCTAGGTTAGCATAGCAGCAATGGAAACTACCCGTATTTCTATGTTTATTTATTTATTTTACAAACAACGCCAAGATGTCTAACCACGGCTGCAACAAAAACCATAACCCAAACCAGACAACCGCCATTCTTAATTGTTTATCACACAGAAATATGATCACGTTAGCATGTTTGTTACTTACTGTTTTGTAGGGGCCGCCATCTTGCTTGACTAAGTGTGAACAAGCCCCGCAGATTCGACACCGTACTTTATTAAAGTCGAACAAGAGAGGCTGAGCTTGGATAAGTTTCAGCTATCGTGTATATAAGTATAAGTACCCCAGACGAGACTAATACTAATCATTTTATTATATTTCAATCAATTTAATAAATAGGGGTTTATTATTCTGTTACGAATGTGCGAACTTCCATTGCGTGAGCGGCATGAGCAAGTAAACCATCATTTATTTATTTATTTATTTATTTATTTATTTATTTATTTATTTATTTATTTATTTCACTCAAATTCAAGGCACACAAAGGAAACGTGTGTGGGTGTGGTAGAAACCACTGGAACTAAAAAGATATCAGACATCATACATGAAGTGCAGGAATTTAGTTTAAACAAACGACGAAAATAAAATGTTTAAATAAGATAGAAAAACATTATTGACAATTTGTTAAAGAATGTGTTAGGCCTTCTGTGGGCTAATGTTTTTGTACACAATCAACGACAAAGAGGGATTCATTAAATTAACTTATTAATTCCATAAAATGACATAGGCCTACCTGATACTTATTGAGAATTGACGAAAGGAGCTTTTACACAAGGGAAGATGAAAACTTTAAGCCTAGTTGAATAATTATTAAACACTGACTCTATGACAAAATAATGTGTAAAACAAACGGATAACTCTGAGTTTTGATATACGACTTTAAGGGAAAAAGGACAGATTTAAAAATACTTTTTTACCTACTGCAATTGCACTTTATAACAACTCCCCTTTAAGTAGGGACAGAAGACATTTAAACTTTTAAACTTTAGCCTGAGCTGCATATATCAAACTGTATTTTGCACCTGTATATTTGCACACTTGACTGCTTTTTTATAATAAGTATTTATTTATCTATCATACTATGCACTGGCAGTTTTAGTATTTTGTACTGTTATCTATGAGTAACAGCTACTTATGCACATGGACCATCCATACCACTTTTTTATCCTGGCTATGTATTGTGGGCTCATGTTTTTTGTATGGGTGGGATATGTATGTATATATGTGTTGTGTTGTGTGTTTGTATGTATGCTGGCAGCTGGAACACCTAAATTTCCCTGCTGGGATGAATAAAGTATATCTTATCTTTATCTTATCTTAAATGTAACTGTTAATATCAAAAATAGTCAACAACTGCAGTTTGAGAAAACCGGGGTGCACCGAGTGCAACAGATTTAGAAAGAGAAGCTAATCCAACAAGCTGTAGTATTTAATGAGATAAGTTTACAGTCTACTTGCCCAAACAAACACTCTTTGAAAGCTTTGAGAGGTCTACTGATTGCATATTGTCCAAAGCTGTATTCTGTCAGTAAGTTTTTAAAGTGATATAAGTTGAATGATTTCAACTGAATCCATACTGGTGATTGCAGATAATATTCTATTTGTAAATACTTTGATGCAATAAAGAAATTAGTAGATAATTAGTACGTAAAGATCCTGGTTAAACAATGGACTAACTTTGGCAACTTTTAGATCTGTATGTTATTTACATTGACTGTATACATCATTATATGACTTTATTTGTAAATAAAGTCTATTATTATTCATTACTTACTTATGCAATATTAGCCTTTTTAGAAAATAGATGGAAAACTGTGGTGTATAAAGCCCCTGATACAAGTGCTTAACTCAATTGGTTCAATTGTAAATATATTTTGTTCCTTAACCAACAGATGGAAATGTTGCTCCAAAGAGTTCTTCTGATAGATCTCTGATAAAAGCATCATGATTAACCAAGGCCCAGCCAAGACCAAACATTCTTTCATTAAATCCAGAAAAAAGTTTCTCTTCGCTTGAGTTAAGAAATGTCGGTTTTTAAGGAGGCCACAATTATAAAATCACCAACAGGAAGTCCTTCTTTAAAAGGCCACCTGCAGTGAAAGGGGCAAGTGATTAAAACTGAGATGGACATGTTGTCTGCTCCCATTTAATTTACTCGTGTTTTTTTATTTCCAATGCTGTCATCTGCTCTGTTTTAAACCTGTGTAATTCTCTTAAATAAGATCAGAGAGCACATGGCTCACCTGTGATTAAAGCTGCAGCTTTGAATTCCCCCTGCTTCTTCTGAGTGACTCTAAATCCAAACACCATTATCTCTGCCGTAATCTCCATCTCATCTCATCTCTGGCCTGACTGTTAATCCCTCTGGTACGAACAGAAAAGCTGAAACTGCCCGATGAATGAATGGATAGAGTGGTGATGAAATAAACTGTTGTATAATGGACAAATAGATGTGGAGCTTGAGAAAAGCCATGAAAATTTGATGGTAAGACTTCAAGAATATGAAAGCTAAAGAGGAAAAATGTGGAGGGACAGAAGAAATATTTTTATATTAATAGTTTAGGGTTACATTCTTTCTATGTTTCAAAAAAGGTATTCATCATATGTTGTATAAACATGGCTCTTTGCATCCTACCCTAATTTGTAATTTTATGGTAACTCAGTCAGCTGGTATTATTTATGAGGGAGGCTAAGAAAGAGACACCAGAATGCCGATAACAAACAATGATAGAACTATGAATCTGTGCAAAACTGCATGCATTGGCATCTGGGCAATGAAACATGAGCTGATGACATAGACCTTAGATTGGGTGTGTGCGGTTTGTGACAGGCAATGGTTGCTACTTTCTGCTATGTGTACCTCCAGGTAGAGAAGATGACAGTGTAGAAGTTCAGGTACAGACTGGAAGGAAGGAAATTTATTGCTCTGGATGAATAACCTATAGGCAAGGTTGTCACCAGAAGTCCTGGGCCACATGAAAATATTTCCCTGTCCGCCCCTAGTTGGCCCCTGTTGCTGACCCTGCACAATTACTATAACCAAACTTAGAAATACACTAATGACCCATTAAAAGCTTTAAAAAATAAACACAATTGAGAGAGAAAGCATAATATTTTTTCAGCAACTTCTGTAGTCATATTATTATTTTTTTATTACAATTTTCCAAACATTTCATACATCAGCATATGTACTGAAAGGTACAGAAAAGTACAATAATTATGATTATTAATATTATAATAATTATAAATTATTAAAGTATTTTTGTTTGAGGCAATCTTCTTCTTCCTGCTTTTATTTATTCATTAACAGTGTTTAAGTATTTTGAGAAAATATTCAAATTTTGAAATGAAATCTTTAATTGTCTCATTTTATGAAAGCTTGGTTTTCAAGTGGGACAGCCTGCTCTGACTAATATGAGAAAGTCAGATACTCTGCTATTACATTTAGAAACTACACATTTTGAAAATGCCCTGCATTTCTTTGTTCAGTGATTGGGCTTGTAAGGCTGGTTTTCTTTACATCAAATATGGCATATTATATTTATATACCATTACATTTGTGTTTATAATTTATGGCACATAGGCCTATAGTTAACTTAAAGTTAACGTGTTACTCACTTTCACCACTGCTTGAGTTTTTAATGAGCTTTGTTCCCTCTTTTAAAATAACATTTCCTTCCAGTACAGGATGTGAGGATGACATTCATCAGACAGGTAAAGGTGCTAATCTGGAAGCAGGCAAAGTTAAAAGCCTAATGATGATAATGATGATACTGATGATACTCACTATGTCGTCCTGAATGGTCGTCTGACTGTGTCATTATGTCCTGATGTGTCATTATATCTTTAATTAAACCTGTCGTCCTGATGTCCTAATACCTGTCATGACGTGCTGTCTGACTGTGTTGTTTAACTTGTCATGATTTGTTGTCTGACTGTGTCATTGTACCTGTTGTTTTCATGTGTCACCTGACTGTCATTATACCTGTTGTCCTAATGTTTCATCTTATTGTGTTTCTATACCCGTTGTTTCATTTAATCTTTCACTACACCTGTGGACATGATGTGTCTGCTGAATGTGTCTGTGTAGCTATATCTGTCATACTGATGTTTGATCTTATTGGGTTGTTGTACCTGTCATTATACTTTTCAGTCCGTTATGTCTTCTGACTTTGTCAATAAATGTAATTGTCGTCTTGATGTGATCTCTCACTGTGTCGATATACCATTCAGTTTAATGTGTTGCCTGACAGTGTTACTATACGTGTTGTCATGATGTGTTGTCATATCTATTGTCCTTATATATATATATATTTCGTTCTGATTTGCTGTCATACTTTGTCATACTTTGTCATCCTGTTGTCGTCTGACAGTTCCATTATACATGTCTCTCTAACCGTCTAATGTGTAGGTTGACTGAGTATTTATACCTGTTTCCTTGGTGCGTTAATATACCTTTAATTATTCCTCTTGTCCTAATGTGTCTTCCGACTGTGTAATCTACCTGCAGTCCTAATTTGCTGCTGACTGTATATTTATACCGGTATTCCTGATGTGTCTTCTGACTGTGTTGGCAAACCAGTCTTCCTGATGTGTCATCTTTTTTGCTTTTATACCTGTTGTTTTAATGTGTTGTCTGACTGTGTAATCAATCCTGTTCATGTGTCAATACACCTGTTTTTATAGCCTATTTTCCACTCCATAAACTATCTTGTCTCAGGTTTAGGCCCATAATTTTACTCAGGCACTTTCTATTAACAACTGCTTTGTTTACGTCCAGCACACAGACGGTTAATCGGGATTGACAAGCTAAGGGTAGTTGCGCATGCGCAGGTGGCACTGACAGAGGAAACAGCCGGGGAGTAGTCAAATAGTCCACGACCAGGGAGAAAGGGAGAGCGAGTACGATAGAAAACCAATTTCCCTGGTTTAACTGGGGTTTCAAAGCCTCTGAACAATAATGCTCGTCTCTCCGGTGTCGCTTCCTCTCAGGTGTCCGCTTCCCGGTCGCTGAATGGCGCTGGTTACCGTGCAGCGTTCACCGACCCCCAGCACCAGCTCCAGCCCCTGCGTTTCGGTAAGAGCAGCCTTTTTGAACCCTCCTACACTGCCATCCCATCACCACGAAATCCAAATCTTTCAGAGGTCGAAGGGGATTTGGGGCTTATTTTCCGCTGTCTTTTTCTCGA